CTTCTGGGTTTTGCAGCAGGCCATGATTTTCCTGGTCTGCACCAGACTGGCACACAGAAGATGTGGAGAGAGATGGGTACATCCCTATTTTGTCACCTCTGCCATCAGCACCTGTGGGGTCTGGCCTGGAGGCGAGGAACCAGGAGATCCAAACTGTAGTTTCAGCATCTTTAAGTCTTCTGGGTTGAACTGAACATTGCTTCAAATTGATTGTTAAATCAGGGAGTGTGGGCGTAGCTCATTCCATTATAATCCCCACAAATTGCTTTGTAATCGAAAGCTTTTGTTCCAGTGTCAAGTGGTTAAGCACCAAGTAAGAAGATCTATTTTACAAGACTAGACAAGATCTGACAGACAGCGGAAACTTAACTTTCAACAAATATAACAATCAACATGAGAGAACCAAAAGGTCCTCATTAAGCACTGCTGTTCTTAATTAATTGGTCCTTCAGATTTACTTCTTTAAAGCTGCTAACAGCCTTAAGCCTTTCCTAGATTAATTACAAAAGACGAGCAAATCACAATAATGAGTTTAGCCTCAGGCTCTTGCCAGGCCTCTGACCTATGTGTGTAGGTTTGCTCCACACAGGGTAGACTGGGGGAAGCAATTTGCCTTCTTGTCTTTTTTCTGAATCAGAATTTCTAGCAGGAAGTGTTTTTTTTTTTTTATTTTCTTCAGTTGTTGGAAAGTGTAATTTTCCTTCCCCTGATAGATCCTTGTCACTTAGTTTAAAATGATCCCTGTGCTGTAATGACTCCCACTTGGGCTGGAAACCCTCCTTCACCAACAACAGCTCAGTCAGTGATGATGACTTTCAAGGCTTGTAATTCTTGGCTTATGAGGCCTAGAGACTGGGGGAAGTATCATTAAAAATGAATCAGGCTGCTCCCCTGGGGACGTGCCTGCTTCCCGGGATGCCCCATCATGTGGATCCATCACCCCTCCCCTGCTGCAGAGGGCTGGGAAGTCACCAGTGAAGTGCAGGAATGAATTTCACAGTGTGTTGTGAGATTGAGAGCCCTTCTGTGCGTGCCTGTAAGAGCAGAGCCACGGCTGCACCGAGCACTTGGTGCCCCTGAGCCCTTTCCTGGTCTGATCCAGCCTTTTATCTGTAACTCAGGCTTTTGGGACCATCCCTATTCCCTTCCTTCCTCCCACTTCAACCATCACCCACCTTGACTCGGATGAGTGGTCATGGTGTAATGGGAAAGTTTGTTTCCCGTGCCTCAGTTTCCCCTACCTGTGGAATGGCACAGTACCACCCCTGGGAGCTTAGCTACATGTCTTGACTTAGTCATTCTGCAAATTGCTTTGAGATCTTAGGCTGATGAGGAGATAAGGGAAAATTATTGCAGTTTGTGTTCTTGATTAGATAATCATCTGCTTAATTTCCTGTGAGTTCAATGAGGCACCTAAGAATTATGCTAAACTGTGGTTTAAGAAGTGACATCATCCCAGTGCTGTACTGCTTGACAAAACTGAGTGTAGCCATAGATAACCAGTAAAAAATGCTGTTCTAAGACAATCTGCTGTGCCCCTCCAGGGTGCCCTTCCCAGCAGTGAAATGAAGTGGGAGGTGCTGCGGTGAGGGCACATGGTCCCTGCACAAGCCTCAGCCCAGGAGCAAAGTGCAGCTTTGCTGCCAAGAGGAGAATCCACTGCAAAGGTTCTTTCTAAGCACAGCAGTGCTGCGCTAGCATGATGGATATTTTCCTCCATTTTTCCTTCCAAAATGAAGGGAACATAAATTTTTCACAGGAGGTTTTGGGTTGCCTCTTGCCAGTTACCTGCCCTCTGTCTCACTGCTGCTGGATGCAGGTTTAAAAGGGGTGTTTTATTTCTTTTTTTGTTTGTTTGTTTTTTGTTTTGTTTTATTTTTAATTCTCTTGAGGTGTCTTCTTTCAGGCCAGAACAGACACAGATGAGCTCCTGTGGGCTGAACTGCTGGGCACTGCTTTATTGCTACCTGGAAGCTGTGGAGTAGCATCAGCTCACTGCTGTGCCCCAGCCAATAAATCTCTGCCAGTTTTTTTGCTAAAAAAAAAAAAAAAATCCCATCTGCTCTGGCAAAAGTGTACAAACCAGTGATTTTTTTCCACCTTAACTAGTGAGTAGCTACACCGAGGTGAATCCCCATTCAGAAGAGGCTTTGCTCACCTCTAGGACAGTTGGTATCAGTAATGCCACAGTCAGACATCAGGAGGGAGTCACAACCCAAGCTGGCTGCTTCCCCCTCCCTCTGGCTCCACACAGTGAAAATCCTGGCCAACAGAGTTAATCCATTTCCCTTTTATTGCTCTGACAAAAAGAAAAGGATTCTTATCTCTCTAAACTAGAAGTGGAATGGGAAGCAAGCAGAGGCCTTCCTCTTCCTTCTACTTATCATCTCATTGTCCCTCTAAATTTGTCTCTGTCCCTGGACCTTAACCTCCCACTCCAAGGGCAGGACAGGGCAGGCTGATAAGCCCTCTCTGAAACCACTGGTATTGAAGCAATTATTCAGCAGCTGCAGCCCTCTGCAGCTGAGCAGAGATTGCCATCTCTGTTCATGGCAACACTGTCCTCGTGCCTCCCTAATACATCCTGGCCTCCAGACCTTATTTATGGCACCTTCTGGCTGAGCTCCAAAGGGACACAGCTTGGGGATCTTTACTGTCATTTCTTTGGACTCTGTCCTTAAAACCAAGGTAATTCTTATTTTTTTTTTTTTCTTCCCCTTTCCCTATCTACAGCTGCTCGTGGTGAATTCTGTGCACAGGGCAGCAGCACTCCTCACTCCAGAGAGCTGGTCCTGTGTGTTTGCTGTCCTTTGGGAATAACTGCAGTGTGGCAGAGGCAGATGAACACTGCTGAGAGCTGCTCTGCTACACGTGTGCTAACACTGGCTCAGCAGGCTCCATTCACAGCTAATTTGAATGCACTTGGGGAAATGTGTTTGCAATGTTTCTATGGATTTATTTATTATTTTTTTTTAAATTACCTATATGTAGTTTATAGGCAGAAATCATTGCATAAAACACTTCAAGTTTTGTCAACTTATACCAGAAGTGGAATTGGTCCACAAGACTCGGAGTACAACCTTAAATACTTGCATTCACCCTCAACTGAGAGTTGGGAAAAACATTTTTGGGTGTTACTTTCCTCTGCTTGAGCAGAGAAAAGCCCTATGGGACTATAATACATTTCAACAGAGATATTAAAAATATCAATATATGCAGCAGAGAGTCAAAAAGCCACCAAAGCTTTTAGACCCAAAGCCCCCAGTGGTAACGGTGGTGGTGGTGCTGGCAATGTGCAACTGACAGAAAATAAAAGTGGTTTTGGAACATTTAAAAAAAAAAAAATAAAAAAATAGCAGGCTTCTGCTTTCATTTGCACCTGGCATGACCTAGACCTGTGCCTCTTTCAGTGGAGCAGCTCCCCCTGGGACATGTGGGAGTGTGGGATAGAGGAGGGGATGGGGCAGGGGAGTGGGAGGATCAGGTCTTTTTTCCTGAGTTATGGATTTAGCAATAAACAATAACGATTTCCCCTTTATATAAGCACCAGTAGGGGAAACAAAACAAACCCTTTGCCTCATTTCCTGTTGTGTTTTGAGGTTTTTTACCAACACTGAAAACCACAGTTCATTACGGGAAGTTTTAGTGGTCTGGGTCTGTCAGTGTTTTAAATCAGTATTTGGCATCAGCAAATGAGACACTTTTCCCTTGAAGTTGGAGGGGAGTTTCACTCTTTTATGTGTGTTTTGTTTGAGAAATGGTGTATTCGCATTTCTTGTCGAGTTCCTCATTTATAAGCACTGTGTAAAGCTACTCTAACAACCAGCTATGTTCTGAACAGTTTTCCTTCGAGCTGGATGAGTAACACTTCACCATTAACCTGCTGCTTGCCAGGGGCTGGGGAGTGTGGCAGTCACTGGTCTGCTGTCAGCTCAGTTTAATATCACAGCCTCTTTGTAGATGAGTTTTCATCAGTGAACTTGTTCTGGAGAGAGATGCCATATGAACTTGAGATGCTGGTAAATTTTTATGGAGTTGGCTTGTATTATCCATCTGGAATATTGGGATGGTGTGTGAGGGGCTATACACACACATGGGTAACAGTGTGGTGCCCCCTCAAAACACAGCAGGAGCTGGCAGGAAAGTCAAACACAACTTTTTGGTTTTTGCTACCTGGTTCCCAGTCTTTAAAAGGAGTAAGAGTAAGGAGTAAGACCTGATTTTGTGGAATATCCTGAGATGCTCAGATAAGAATGGCAGCAATGCCACAAGGCTCCCTGGATGGCTGTGCCCCTCATCAGTTGTGCTCCTCTCTGGACAGCCAGGCTCCAAGCCTCTGTCCCAGACTGCTGTGAGAGCTGTGCCCTGTGAGGAACCCTGATTTTACGGTGTTATGTATATGAACTGCCTGCTCCCAGCTTAATGCACAGAGCCCAGCAAAGCCCAGCAGGACTGACCCTGCTGTAACTGGGAGGATCCACATCCCCCTCGTGGGCTGCTGGCCATGGCAGCAGAGGAGTGCTGAGAGACTGTACCAGTTTAACTTCTGTGGGCCATCCAGGTCCTCAGCTACACCATCTCACTCCTCACATCAAGCACAGCCTCAGGAGAAGCTGGCTCCAGGCTCCAGCACTCCAGAGCTGAGAGCTGTTTGGAGAAGGTGAATGTGAGCGCTGCCTCCCTGTCCCTTTGGAGGGGCAGGCTCTGCAGCGAGGTTGTTTTGCTGCTGTCCTGCCTCTCCATGGAGACTGTGCAAGCCCCCAGGGAATGTGCTCTGGTGCCATGGGTTAAGTGTTTCAGAGTATGGGAGGCATAAAACAAACGGGCTGAGTGTTCCCATGTGCCACCAAGGTCCATTTAATTCGGTAGCACAGAGAGAACTGTGCTTTGGCAGCCTCCCCACCTCCACCAGCTTCTCACAGAAGGGATTAACACAGGATTTAATTAATAAGCAGAGTGACTTTTTGTTTCTTTTTATTCCTTTAGCATGGTATGTCGTACCTGGATATTGCTCAGGCTAATTCCCCTTTACCTGGGCACAGGGAAAGCCACGCTTGACCCAATGTAGCCATGGCATGTAAAGATGTGAACACAGGTCCAGCAATCCCATCTCACCTCCTGGAAGGAATGCAGCCAGTCTACAGAAGAGGAAGGCAGCAAACAGGAGGAGGGAAAGGTCACACTCTAAAACTCATGCTTTCTGTGATACTTTTCTTTGATCCCTTTGCTTTAAAAGGGTATAATGCAAATTTATAACGTCCCACACCCCTTGAAGTCACAATAGCTAAAAAACCCCTCAAGTTTTCCAGCTGAAACTCGCATGGTCCTTGGCTTTGGTGCCAGATAACATGTTGCTATGCCACACACTGCCAAGGAATCTGAGTGCTCTGAGTGCAGGGACACTAAAGATGCCACACAGAAGGCTCTGCATGCTTGCTGTGTTTTTCCATAGCAACAAATACGCCTGATTACAGCACATTCATATGCTCTATATAATGAGTATCCCATAGGAAATTTATCACCGTGCATCCTGCATCATAATTAGAAATCAGACTGGGGCAACTGAAGCTAATTCCCCAGGCATGGGATGTGTTTGGTGTGGAGAGGGCAGTGGGGAGCAGGGAGGGTGAGAGGCAGCTCTGCCAAGTGCCTGGCCCTGATGCTTGTTGCCAAATTTCACAGCTAATTCTGAATTATTTGTGCTGTCCCTCCTGGCAGAGTGTGTGAGTGAGGAGAGGTGTTTTTAAGGGTTTTCTTTTCTCTTGTTTATAAATGAAAAAAACCCACCCAAACTATCTAGCTTCATTTCTCTTCTGGTCTACTCTGGCAGGGAGAAATTGAAACCAGAAGTGTTTGGAGTTTAGTTCCATAGGCAAAGTGTGTTCTCCTGGGGGGTTTCTGCTGTGGCTTGGTCCAATTGTTACTGCCATACCACTTACAAATATTCTTAACTACTTCAGACAAATTCAGCGGCGCTCTAATGAAAAAATAAAATACGCAGGCAAAGTTTCAACCAGGAAAATTTAATAAAGAATTTTATTCACCTGACAAATCTAATCAATTTTCACCAAATAAGGCAACATTCAGCCTCAAGGCTAGGAGTTCACTGTGTGTGTGTGGTGTGTGCAGCCTTACAGGTTCAATGGACTTGGGTTTTGTGTCTAGGGCTGAGTTCAAAATGAAATGTTCCCAGCAGGTCAAAAGCTGCTTTGTAGCACAGCAATTGAGTTAGGTGTTCATACAGCTCAGGCAGTGATGATAGCTATTAAGGTATCTACTTATATTTGCCATCAGCACTGCATTAAGGTTTTTTTCTTATACGATGAGATCTGCTGAGATTCAGGTACTGAAATTATCTTTCTTCTCCATTAACCTGTGTCACTTCAGTTTATCAACAAATGCTGCCCTTGACTGTAGCCTGATCTGAGCCCTCAGGCTTTCACCCAACCTCCAAGGACAGAATTTGGTCACCATTGGTAAGTAGAATGTGAATGCTAAATCTGAACCAGAGTGCCTGTAGTTATTACAGGCCACATAGCTCTCAGGCCTGACTGAAGCTAGCCTGAGAAATTCATGAGAAAGAATTAAAACAATTCTCAGAGATGCTAAACAGCCTTGCAGGTGTTGTTTTGCAACCTGTTGTTTCTCCTTGCAGGAGACAGTCAGGGGGGGCAGAGTGCCCCTGACCAAAGATGGTGATGTAGCACTTTGCTAACCAATAAGAGTTTCCTTTCTGTACTTTCCACGTATCTGTCTATAAGACAGAGCTGAAGCAATAAACTAAAGAATTCTCCTGTCGTGACTCCCTTGAGAGTCCATTGTCGTTCTTTAAAGCCGTTCCCAATCGGAACGACAGTAGAACACAAAGGGGAGTCCCAAATATATACAATATTGAAGCCATATGCAAATATATTAATAATAATTATGACTTTGTAGTTAAATCAACTGTTTTTGTACCCAGAGGTAATTTTCTGAGGCCTCAGTGAGCTCATGGTCAGAAGTGGGTTGGAAATTGTGCAGAGGAGGGATTTTCCACACTGAGATTTATCATGTTACATCACCTGCTGTTGCAGGGGCACGTGGGAGTGAATCAGGTGCCCCAATGTAGGTGTCTTGTGACATTTTTGCTGCTCTGCAGCATTTGAGACATGGCCATCCTGCTGGAATGTGGGGTGCTGTGAGATCTGTGCCCATTACAACAGGCACAGTTGAATGTCGAAGTGGCAATAGATGCTTGTCAGCTACTTGAACTGATCCCTTCTACTGCTCTCCCTCTATTATCTAAATAATGATATTTATTCAATAAATGGGCTAATTTAATGCCCCAGAGATTGAACTGACTTTAGGCATGATATTTTACATTCCACTGAAATTATTTAGGATGGGCTCACAGAAGTTCACGAGGCTTCCAGTTCTTCCTATCTGTGCTAAAAAAGCCAAGACAAGCCCCATGCTGCCCAGCTGAACTGCATTTTGCCTGTGTAATGACTCTAAGTGATGCAGTTACAGCCTCATGAGAGTGTAATGTTTCAGACTACTGCTATGGAACAACGTGCTGTGTGTGAGTGAAGCAATCACTGAGATTTCCTTCATCTCAATTCCCCCCTGCCTCCCTACTCAGCCATAGCCCAGGTGTGGATTTGGGGCATGCAAAGGGCAGCCTGCACCTAACCTTTGCAATGACATGAAGGTTGCTGTGGCCACTTTGCTATTTCATGGGTGCTGGAGTGCGTGCAGAGCTCTCTTGCAGGTTGCTGTCATAACTGTGATTCTCACTGCAGTTTTCATCTTGGAAATGACTGATTGATGTGGTGGTTTGAGGTAAAGAAAGCAGTGCCAGATTTCAGGGACTGGCATTGTAAATGCTCTGGTAAATGAACTGTTCTTCATTTGCCATCAACTGGGTCTTTTAGCTTGGAATCACTCTGCTGATAAACCAGTCCTCTCACAACAAACACAGCACTTTGCTCCCATATTCTCCAGTCTGGAACAAGGAAAATGCAAGAAGCCTCTTTAGTCCTTCCCAGGAGAATGCCAGCGTTTGCAAGAGTCCCACAGCTCCACAGCATTAATGAAATCACTGGATGGATGGTGTGCTGTGAATTGAAGTGGTCAAAACACTCTGTTGTAACCTTTGAATTAAGTGCTGCTCATCCCAGCCTGGAGGTGAGGCAGATGGACAAATGGCCTGGCAGCCAGCCCAGATGCCCAGTGGGCACTTGCTGGGCACCAAATGGCTGTGTGTGCTCTTTGTCCAAATGTTCTGGCTGCAAAAGGCCCTGTTTCACAGTGCCTGCCCCTGAGGAAGCATTTCTCTGTCTCAGGAGATGATGCTACAGCAGTTTCTGTGCCATTTGTTACCTGCTTGCTCCCTGAAGTGGCCAGACCAGGTAGAAAAGTGTTTTCATCAGGAGGAGAAGCTGCAGAGAGTGCTGATGTCTTGTTTGGCAAGGGTGGAAAAGCATGGGTTTTAGACAGGTTTTCAGGCAAGGGACAATGGTTACAAGTGGCTGTCATGTGCAGGGGAAGAGTAATTTCCACCCTCAGGTTGTTTGCTGTTGTGGGGGGAGGCAACAGGCTCCCTACTGTTCAATGTCAAATCTTGCTGTGATTTATTGCAACTGTACACAGGTCTAAAAGCTCTTCTTTCCACAATGCTGCGAAGCTGCAAGTAAATTTTATTCATTTTGGGGGGAATTTTCTTGATTACAGACAACAAAAAGTCCATTCCTGTTGGTTGGCACACCTCCTGCCAAAGATCCAGGCAGCGAGAAAGATTCCTGGGGGCTTTTCCAGGTTTGTGCTGCAATTTGATCTGCTGAACTTGCAGTGACCGAGGGAATTATCATCCTTAGTGCTCCCAGGGTTAGGTTTTCCTCTGGAAGTCAGGTGGTGTCCTTCTCACTAAAGCACAGCCAGGGCAGGGTGTTACAGTGGCATCCTGTGATGGTTTGGGGTGACTGGAGTGACAGATCACATCCTTCAGAACTCATTGTAGTGCCCATCCGGGCAGCAGAGCAGGATTTAAAACCATCTACACATGAAACGAGCTTGGTGCAGCAAGAATAGATCAGAGCAGGAAAAGAGAGATGAGTAAGGAGGAGGGAATGGGAAATAGGCTGATGTGTCTTTGGAGGGAGGAAAAGGAATGTGTAAAACAGACACAGGAGCAGTAGATCAAAGTAGCCCAGTGGGAAGAGGAGAAAGAGCAAACTAGTTATTGCATGAACAAAAATATCATCATGGCTGAGACATGAAGGGAATGACAGGAGGAAAAGAACAGAGGTTGAGAGTAAAAAGAAACATTTTCCTCTTAGAAAATAATAGAAGAGTAATAGAGGATAGGAGTGGGAAGTGAAAGGGAATTAGATGAAGAGGAGGAAGGCTGGAAATAAAGAGATTCTAAAACGGTGACTGTATGACCCCAGGGGAAGAGCAGCAGCTTGGAAATGTATCTTGAAATTCACTTTGGGTAGCACATCATGAAGCTCAAGCTCAGGCAGGAGCTCTTTTCTTTTGGGAAACAGCAACCCGTGCCCACATGAATGTCAGATTGGTGTTGACGCAGGTGGGGGCTGAGAAGCCAGTTTGTAGCTGGAGCCCTGGAACAGGGCCTTGTTTAAGGGAAAGAAAAGAGCCCAGGGAAGCACAACCAAGCTGCTGTGGTTCAGTGAACCAGGCAGCATGTGATGACATTTCCTTTAAAAGCCTGCCTTGTGATGAGCTTGCCGCAGGCTAAGCCCAGGCTCTGGCAGCCTGCAGCAGAGCGGCGCTGGCCGCACAGCACCCTGTGGGACGTGCCTGGGCTCCCTGCCTTCCCTGGAGCTCTTGTACAGCCTTGCTTCCAGCAGCTCCTGCCTGCCTCCTCCTGCCTCTGGCTGCCTGCTCAGGGTGGCCAGAGCCTGCCCTTTTGGCAGCTGGAGCTGCTCGGGCTCTGGGGGTGGATGTGTCCCTCCTTCGTTATCCTCGGTTCCCACTGCTCAGCTCACTGGAGCACTTTGCTTCCTCCCCAGCTGTAAGTGGCATTGTTAGTTCTTTGGCTCTAATAATCTTCATTTGAAGCTCTAATGGATATCCACACAGATAACATGCTAATTTATTAGTTCAGCTCAACTGGGCTGCAGGATGAAAAATGATTGCGGAAGACTTTTAATAAAATTCAAAGGGATTTTATAGGTCTCAAGCCACTTTTAAAATGCAAGAGAAAGCCAAGAGTATTACTTTGTTAACCCACATAATTCTATCCTGCCTAATGAGGTCTGGAGCTAATCTTCAGTGCCCTGCCCTGGGATCAGAATTATTGGAGCAGGTAAACACTGCTAAGTACCACGCTGCATCTCTGAGTCGGGTTGCATTGTCACCGTGACTTTCTGTTCCTTCCCTTCTATCAACTTTTCATAAAGCTCAGAATAGAGATGATTATGGAAAAACAAAGAGCTGGCTTCCTGTAGTGAGTGGCATGCAGCAGCCTCCTCTCCTCTGTTGGGGTTGAGGCAATGAAGGGAAGCACTGGCCATGCAGTTCCCCACACCTGTACTGGTTGTGAGGAAAAATATTTTGATCTGAGTTAAAAACAAGGCAATTGAATGCCAGTTCTCAGAATGGTTTGGAGAAGCTTTTCTGGTTTCCAGAAAATTGCACTGTGTCACAGCAGGCTCCACTTTGCTGTTTTCACAAGGTGTACAATGCCATAACCAGCCACAAAGCAAACCCACATGAGCGTAGGGTTTGTCATTATGCTTACTAGTCTAATACAGCAGCACGAGTCCTGTGTTCAGAGCAGGTTTTGTTCAGATTTATAAGAATTATGACATTAGTAATCCTTTTCCTGAGTGTGTAAGCAGTGCTTGTCACAGTCATCAGCAAAGCCCAGTCACAGATGTGGTTTGGATGCTGGAGAGAGTTTTGTCCAACCAAGTGACCTCGTGATTCACTCTGGTCCCATTACTCAGTGATTAGTGTGACCTGGGGAATATTAGCCACAGTCAAAGCAGAGGAGGTTAAGGTGACCACTTACCAGGAAAATGTAGCTTTCAGGGTATAATCTGTTTACAAGCATTTAATTGCAGTAAATGAGCCAGGCAGAAGGTGAGGAGGATCTGAAACACAGAGGAATAATAAATTGACTCATGTTTATTTAAGCATTTATATCTTCTGAAGCTGGGCTTAGCCTGAGGATGCAAAGGGATTAAGGCATGCTTGCAAAGCCCCTTGTCTTCTGCATCCTACTTTTCCCCTATAATGCCAAATCCTCTATCCCTTTTCAGAGGGGTCTATGCACTTGTACATATCTTTTTTTTTTGCTTAGAATATTCTCCCCTGTCATCTGCACTGTTCAGTCCTGTACATCTCCCTCCCTCTCCCAAACTATTCCTTGTGTTTCAGTAAATGCTGCTCTTTTGAGCTCCTTTATCTTCCCCTGCTTCCCTTTAATTTGAATGTAGAATTATCTATCTCCGTGCCTGAATGTGTAAACTGGGTTGTATCACTTCAGGCCAGCTGAAAGCTGTACTTTCCAGAAGGGTTCAATTAATTAAACAAATCTCAACCCCAATTTCGTTTTGACCTAAGTTCTAAAATGCTTGACATAAAATGGATCATTTTCTGGAGTTTTCCTCTTGATGAATCCACATTTAATATTAAACTAAAATCTAAATTAGTTTTTTTTTTCCCTTTCAAAATGTCAACATTTTCATTTTGAAAAAACGTTGAAACAAAATGTTCTGACACCTTGGAAAATCCATCTCCTCCCATACCAATTTACCATCCAAAAACCTATCATTAATGTTTTATCCATGGAAATAACCTAATCAGCACTTGCAGAGAAGCTTCATCTCCTTTTAGTCCCATGGCTCATGGGATTGCATTTTTGGAAAAACGCACCTGCATTTTTGGATTGGACAAAAATGGGATTGCATCCCTTGGACAGCCCTGAGCTGGGTGCAGTGGGACGTGATAAATGGGAGATGTAACCTGGGGTGGCTCTTGCACCCCAGTCCTTGCTTTTGGATGAGTGTTTAAGAGCCTCACCTGCCCTGGCTGATGGGCAGCAATGATGTGCCACACCTGGGGTACAGGTTTGGCTCAGGTTGGGGCTGTCCTGCCTCCCTGGAGCAGATGTAGGGTGTCTCCAGCTCTGCTGTGGCCCCACTCAGGCACCACCCTGGGCTGATGGTCTGTCTCTGCCCTGACCCATTCCACAGAGGTACCTGGGCTGCTCCTGCAGCTGCCCTGCCTTTTACCCCCTGGGGCAAGAGCTTTTGTTTCCCTGAGCATGGCCTTGCTGCTCAAGGCCCAGAAGATGCTCTTGACCCGGTAACTGCAGACCCACAGAAGTGTTTCACCTGTGCAAGCAAGGAGATATTGCTGTCCTTGCTTTCTGGATGCAGAAACAAAGTGCTTTTTCTTAGTCCTCGCTGATTTTCAGCACTTTCCTTCATTTTTATGACTCATTATGGTTCTCATCTTCTGGTTATAGCCAAAGAATATGCTCTCACCGTGATTCTCACATTCCCAGAGCTGAGGAGCCCAGCATGGGCTGTGCTGCTCTATCCCATCCCCTCCTTCCATCCCAGGCTTCCCACACGGGCTGCTGTGCTGGGGGAGCCTGGCCAGCTCCCTCCCTCTCTGCCCAGGCACGCAGGGCACAAGGCAGCAGCTTGTTTTCCAGTGCCCTACAGGAGGTGTTTCCTGCCCAGCAAAGCCCAGTAACACCTCTGAGGCTGCAGGGATGTGTCCTGGGCTTCTCTTTTCAGCTCCAATCCCCCTCTGGTCCCCACTGTGCGAGGTGAAAGCGTTGAGAGCTGTCTGGTGTGGTAGCTGTGAGCCCATCAGCCCTGTTTATGATCTCATGGTTCAGGGCTCTGGGTGGGGAGCAGTGCTGCTGCTGGGCTTGTTTTAACAAGCTCTTCTTGCAGGGCAGCTGCTGGAGGCAGTTCCACCAGAGAGGCAAAACCCTTGTGGTTGCGGGAGCAGAACAAGGTGACCTGCCAGGTGTCTTGTTCCTGAGATTTATCCCAGACCTGGGCTGGCTTCCTCCCTTGACATTGTCCCTGTGGTTTATGCTGTCTCTGCAGCTGGGGATGAGGCTGGGAGGATGCAGCACTGAGATTTCCTCATGGGCTGCAGGGTGTGGGTGGCTCACACGTGGGGTGTGTGACACAAACTGCCAGGGCCAGCACGCTGTGCATGCTGGCAGCCACAAAATGTGCATTAGGGTGGGAGTGTGTGTGCCCTGTTTGTCTTCATTTATCAGTCCACAGTAATTAACCATCACAACCCCCCAGACAGCCTGTGGGACACGGCTCTGTATGTGCTCCATGCTGGCCAGCCAGAGCTGGGAGTAGCACTATCCAGGGATGCAGAACATCAATCACTGCAGTCCATTCCCCATGTCTGGTTAATCCTCAAGCCCGGGGACTGTTCCAACATCTTGAGTTATCCCAGTGTTTAGTTCAGCTTCTATTCTATCTCCCATAACTGCAACTGGACTTCCTCGTTTGACTTTCACTTTCCAAAGAGCAGATTAATTTCATGGGATCTGCAGTGGAAAACTCAGCTGTGCCAAGAAACCTAGACAGCTTTGCAGGAGCAGACATTTCAAATTGCTGGGCTGCAAACAACTTGGAGCTACTTGTAATGCCATGTGAAATGAAAAGAGTTTTCCAGTTAATCTGCAAGTGAAAAAAAAAATATCCCAGTGTTAAAAGGAATGCTTTTTGGCTTGGGCTCCGATTTCAGTGGGTTTAAGATGATTTAAGTGGGGGCTACTGGAAACTCTCTGCAGTGTTCTGTACAGAGTTTGGTTCTTGTGCTGCTCCTTTGGTGTCCACTGTGTTCACATAGGGCAGTGACCATCAGCCCCTGTGGGGTGGTCTCCTCTTGGGCGTGGAGGTTGGGAAGATTTTTCTGGAGCAAAGCAACTTCAGTGTGTTTGTGCAGGTTGGCATGCTTGCCATCTAGAAAGGACAGTGCTTATAAAGGGAATTACCTGATAAAGTGCAAAGTATGAATTCCAGACCACTTTGGCTGTTCCCTGCTTTACATCCCATGGTGAAGCAGATGCTCCTCAAAAGCCCAGGGCCAGGCAGGTGCCCAGGTGTGTCTGGCTGCTGGCTCCTGGGTGCTAAAGTCCAAACTTGAAGTCTGCAGTGCCAAAGGCTAGGGCAGGGGAGGGAAGTGAAACAAAAAAAACCAGAAGCTGAGGGAGTATTTTAAAGAAATGGGTTACTCTGTCATGATGCAAGAAGCCATGACCGGGCTGAAGGCAGTGCCCTGCTCTGATTTCCCTGATTCCAGGACTTCTTTCAGTTCCTTCTAGACACTTGAGAATAAGGAAGAGTGCAGAAAGGCTGTGCTGGGCCTTAAATTCACCTTCAGGAACAACTCTTGGCCCAAGCTGGTAAGAAGTGTCCCTGCTGGATGCAGCTGCCCTGCTCCCCAGGAGGCAGAAACTTCAAATTCAGAGGAAGTTTATCTGAACAGCAAAAGGGCCTGGGAAGACCATAGGTGAAAGCTGGGTGATAATTTCCCATTGCCTTAAAAGGGAAGTGGGTGTAAGTGTCGGAGTTAATGTCTGAGACTTGGTGAAGGTCATCTGAGCTTTAATGGGATTCATCTGATGGGGTTTTAATTATTCTTGTGAGCAAAGTCCCACAGCTATACATGGGGAAATTCAGCTGTGCTGCCTGACAGAGCATGGCTGTGGCTTTGTCTCCACACTTAGGAAATAAAGGATATCCAAAGGCTGTGAAGGAAAACTGTGCAAAAATTGGGCATTTTTTTATTTGAGTGTGTTTGAGAAAGGGAAGTAGTATTTTTGTGTAGTAGAGCCTTTGAGGGTAGAAATCTACCTAAAATAAGTAGAAGGTTGTTTTATATCTTCAGATATCCCTGCAGAGAGGTAGCAGGAGTAGCCCTGTGAAGGACAAAATTTAGAGGTGTCATTTCTTTTAACAGATACCCAGTTTGCCTTAAAGCACTCCCCTTGCATTTACATGAGCACTTTTCCCTTTGTTTGTTTGTTTATTGTCTGCCTAATGGTTTCAGCCTTATCACAAAGAATGATAGCAGCACATCACTGCAGGAGAGCTTGGAGTTGCTACTGCAGTCCCAGGTAAGTAGTAAATAGCTCACTCAGAAAAAACAAATGCTACTTTTATCGGTCTGTCCATTGCACACATTTGTCCAATTTGGGATTGATCTCTCATGCAGAAAAGCTAATAACATTAAGTATTCTGCTTTTGGACTCCACACACAGAGACAGGTTATGTGACCTCTGTTTGCCCCACAAGCCTGGTATTGTGCTGCTTCATCCATTGCCAGATTTTGTTTTAAGGAGGAAGCAGATGTGGAGCACAGTGAAGGCAACTGGATAAAGAATTTCAGGCCTGGTTAAGAGAACTGTAAATGTGAGGAGATCTAGCTTTCACCTTATACACCACAGACTAGGCACAATTCCTCTTCAAGATCTGTGTCAGACCTGAGGAAGAGAACAAACACTTTTATCTTGGAAGAAATAAAGAAAAACCAAAATCCCACTGCCCAGAGCTTTGCTGTGCAAAGTGCTTTGTAAAAATGAGAACATCTACGAGATTTGGCCCTGGCTCTTCTGACCGGGAGCTGAATGGTTAAATAGCTAAATAATCCCTACCTAGAGCCTTTGTTTCTAGATTTCACTAGAGAGGGAGAGGTTCAAAGCTCCAGGTGTTTGCTGTTTGTAGCAAGGGGTTGTGGTTGCTTGGTGGTTTCTGTTTGCTGTTATGAGCAGTGAATTTCATGGTCCTGAGCTGTCCAGAACCCTCTCATGTGTTTCCTGGTCATTCAGTTCATATGGATTTAGGGTACTTTTGAGCTCTGAACTGACATGTGAGTCAGGTGGGAATTTACACTGTGGTGTTTAAAGAAAGAAAAAAAAACAGCAAAAGAAACTCTGCTCTCAGCTCTGCTAGAAATTGAAGTAAATAATACACCTGTATCAGCAGTTTATTTGACAACATAACTACAGGTTGCTGATAACTGTTAAAAAAATAAAGGAAAAGAAGACATTTTGGTTATATGTTAGCATCTCCAGGAATTAGAAAAAAACACTAGGAAAGCAGATATAGCCTGGATCTTTGCAAGTGTTCTGTAACATCACATGGCTAAAATCTTCTGTCAAGGTACTTGAAACCCAGGATCTCATTGTCTTTTTTAGAACAATATCCCAATGCTGAGAGTAGGAAAATTCAGAGTGACAGGTGCTTCATAGCTCTACAAGGACCAGGGTGCTGTGGGAGAAGACACAAGGTGTGAGTTGAAAATAGAAATGCTGTTTCTAGCTGTAATAATCCCCTAGAATTTCACCACGTGCAGAGCAGTGCTCGGGGCTGATGGAATTCCTCAGTAAATGGTGAGACTCTGACCTGGCCATGTGGAGCAAAATGAAAGCAAAGAGCCCAATCCACATGATGATTTTAAGAAGAGAAGTGTTATTGGGTGTTGGCCTGCCCTTCCTTCAGGCTCAGGGAATCACTGCCAAGGGGAAGAGCCCTGGAGCTGGGGTGAACCCTGCTAAACTGAGCAGGGCTGTGGTGGGAAAAGCTGAGTGCTTTGGCTCTTGCAGGGATGTGCTGGAGTTGTGGAGACCTCCCTGGGCAGAGAGGAAGCCTTGCCAGCACCTGGCTGTCCTAAGCATCCATTTATAGATCTGAAATCCTAGTTTAATTCCATAAGGGTGAGTGTAAGGTGTTTTCAGTTTACCCATTCTGGACAACTTTTTGCTGCTGGAGTAGACAGAAGTGCTTTGTAGAGGTTTATAATAGCTCTCAACCTAAGTGTTTCTATTGGATTCAAAGAGCTAATTATCCCTTTAAAATGCCTTTCCAAAATTGTTTTCAGAGTTCTCCTCCATTATAGCTGAACCCAAATTTGAGTGTCTCATGTGTTTGTAACAGGTGCCATGGGACACCTTCTCAAAAAGAAACACCAGACAACAGCTGAGGCCACAAAGATGTCGCTATCAAAGGCAGCATCTCGGGATATTTTGAGGTTTTTTTTGGCTGAGTGTGTTCTATTCTAGTAATGTTTCCCTTAGACTGTTTGTTTTCCATTGTTTTGGTTTGTTTTCCATTGGGCTAAATGGCTTGGTTGTACTGAGGACCTGGACTTTTTCATATGGAAAAGAAAGATTTAGCACGAAGATTTATCTTCATGAGCTAGGGGAAAATTTCCTTCTTTTTGATGGACCCAGCCCTTTAAAGCCCCTGAAAGGAAACCAAATATCTTTAATTCCCAGGAGATATCTTAGAGGATCAGAGCTAAAACATTACTCTCTGAACTATTAGACACAGAGACCTCTGCATGACCCTTTGTGTTTCAGAGTCTCAAGGCTGTGGATTCTCCAGAAGAACCTATTTCTTCTACAACCAGAGGCTGAACAAGAGTGCACCATTATAGAAGTTTAAATAAACCACATAAGGTCATCTGCTGCTTAAATCCTCGCTACCAGGTCTAGAGATATTTTTGCTTTGTTTCCAGGCGAGCTCAGAGTCCCAGTGCCAAAGGGCAACATGTAAATTGTGCTGTTATTCTGAAGCATGCAAGGTAATAAATGGTGCTGTCAATTGTTTTCACTCCAGTGACAGATTTATTCTCTTCAAGACAAATGACCAGGAATGGCTATTATTGCAAAAAATTCACTGTGTATCATCTTGTGCCTGTTGTTTAACAAATAATGCTAAGTCTAATTGCCTTCCTCTGTGGCCAACTACCTATGAGTTAATGGTTTTTTTTATTGAAGACGTGTAATTTACCATTGCTTTTGATGTGCCATCTGATTGAATGTCTCTGTGAATCACATCTGCAATCTAACACTGTGTATCCCAGAGGAATACCCCTTATCCCATTGTTTTCTCCTGAGCTGGGTAAAAACAGTGTTAATTTTTTTTTTTTTTTTAAACACAAACTATTAAGCTTCTGTTTCCTGATTTCTAGGCTGACATTCCTTCTCCTGGCAGATGCACTAAAGTTTAATAAATCAGTTGCATGTGGGAATGTATGATGTTTTATTGTACTAGAAATAGTGGGTTTAAATCTCAGCAGCACTTTTTACAGAATAAACATGGAATTAGCTTGGAATCTGATCCTGCATTTCTGTCCAAAATCCCCTGGAATGCAGGCCTTTTTGATAGCACCCTGCTTTTCAGCAAGAAAATTCTGCAGCTGATACACTTCAGGATACAAACATTATTGCTTTTTAAAGATTTTTTAGTGATTCAGCAATGCCTGTTTTTCTACAAGTCTGTGTTCCATTTTATTTTCCAGTCAACATTGCAATGTTTGTCATGTTTTAGGTTCGAAACAGCATCTAAAACTGTAAAGCTTACATAAAGTTTGCACTTCAACAATGTATTTTAGAAAAAGCTGATGGCAGACAAATGTTGAAGTTAAAGCCTCGCTTCCTTGCAAAACAATCCAGCTCCACGTGCCAAAAAGGAGGTGATGGGGAGCAAAAGTAAAATTTCTATCAGCAGAAATCTTAATTTTTGTAGCTATTGAGGTCTGTTGTGGTTGAGAATGCAGTGAAGTGGTCCCAAAAAGGTCATCAGAGATGTGAAGAGGTGACAGAGGCAGCTTGTGGGCCATCCTCTGCCCCAGGCACTGCATTTCAAGGTTCCCCTGTTACTAAAAACTGTACAAGTGCAAGTTTTGTGCTGGTGTGATAAGCTAAATTAGACACAGTGATTTATTCTAAAATTATTCTGAATGCTCATATGATTGAATTCTTCTCCTCATAAAGATGGTTGATACTACTGGTAAAGGTATTTGTTGCTTTCAGTTGTGTTTCCATGTTAGTATCAAACTGGATTAGTCATCCTGGTGTAAATTACAGCAGCGTGACTTTCCCATGCAGATAAATTTTTAGCCAACACTTAAGGCCACGGCTTTTATTTGCATTTCTTTATTACAATAATGCTCCATTAATGGGCTTTCTCAAGCAGCAAAGGCCAAGGTCTGGTTTGCCAGTAGGTGGGTGTTAGACAGGGGAAATGAGATGGGGAAATCAAAATAGGGGATCCAGGTAGGACAGGAACTGTGGCTTGCCCTGCAAGGAGCAGCATCCTGAGGGGGCTCTGCTGGGGAGGCTCTCAGCACTCTGGTATTCTCCAGTTAAAGCAATTTGCCAGCAAACCCCGAGCACAGATTGCTTTGTTCTGTTAAAACAAATACCCAGGAAATTCAGCTACAAACTTTTGCTATCACTTAGCTCTTATCTCGCTCTATTGCAGTAACTATTTGATGACCTCAGCAGAGGCCTTGAATCCAGTAATCAGTTCTTCAAGTTTGCAACAAAATCTGTTCTTTTTCCTAAACAACCACAAGTAACAAGAGGTTGTCTTGGCCTTTTATCTGTTTTGACAAACGAGGGCCCAGATCTCCTCCTCTGCACGCTGATCTGCTCCTGCAGGCCCTGGAAGGAGGATGTGGCTTGGCTCTCCATTCTCCTGCCTCAGCTGGGACTGCCTGGCAAAGCAAAGGAGGGAATTGCATTCCTTGCCTGAAAGGCAGCAGAGCCTGGCTGGTTTTTATCAGGGCTGCCACCGAGAAGTTCAGCTGATTGATTTGCATAGATAATTTTTAGTTCCTGTTTAGCCTGAACAGGAGTGGCTTGGGGAGTAAATGATGTGAGTGATTCTCTCGAGGCAATATTCACCCTGGTGCTCTAGCCCCGAGAAGCCAGTGGTGCTGGTACCTTTTATCTCCAGCTGTGAGCCTCTGTTTGGTGTGGAACGGGTTAAATTGCAGCCTGTGACTGCAAAGCATTTGTCTGAGGACTGGGACCGTTCTTATCTTTACAGTGAAATATTATCCCTTCACGGTTAACAACCAGCAGCAAACCTGCTCATTGTGGAAGCAGTTTGGCATAATTAGCCGGTTAAAGAAGTCTGCCTATTGATTAACTGAACTAAATGACCCATAATTAAGAGCCTAACTGAGGAGCTAATCTATTTGGTGGTGTTGTCCTTCCCCTTACAGGTTTGGGACCTGCAGGTCTGTTGGCTGTTCAGGGATGAGGAGCCCATGTGGGTGGTAATTGTGTTGGTTTGGGGCTCTAATGCACACCCCGATGGGTTCTAGGGGGCTGCTGGCACATTGCTCTCCCCTCTCAGACCACAGAGGTGCAGCAGGAGCCCTGCTGGCTCCAGGAGGGTTTGCTGCCTTTCTCAGGGCTCGCTGGAGCTGTCTGCTCCACATCACCTTGGATTTATGGGGGCTTGGGGGAGCTGGCTCCATCCCTGCACATGGGTTGTGAGAGGGCCCTATGGCCTGGAAGGGAACCCAGGCCACAAGAAAGACCAAGCTGGGGCTGAAGCTGTGGGAAGCCATTTGTTTGGTTAGCTTGCAGTGTTATTTCCTTGCAAAAAGTTGCCTATTTTTAGCTGTAATTTGTGTCTAGTGTGATGCATAGTTTCTATAAAATGTATTCTGGAGATTAACTTGGGTAGTTGAGAGAAGCTCCTGTTTATACCTGAGTATTATTGAATCTCTCATTACCCTCTTTGTAAAGTGCTACTCTCTGCTCACACTTTTTTCCTTATGTCTTACTAAAGATTATGCCAAAATGTTCATTGCTTTGCTCTCCCTTTGATGCAGTGCTATAAAAACAGGATCACACTTTAGTGGTGACACCAGCCAGCCTGCACAGTCTGAGCTGGTACCAAGCTGCACCAGGCCAAGGGATTGATAACATTAAGTTACAGTTTCAAATAGTCACAAAGAAAACAATGGTTTGTTTTTTTGTTGGTTTTTTTTTTTTATTTTTGAAACCCAGCTCTTATCTGCCTCTTCTTCTCAATCAATCCTCCCTAAACCCACAAAAGTAGCAATCTGAACAGATTTGTTCTCGAAGAGTTTAAGGTTAAAGGACTTCTTAAGCACTGCCCTTTCCTCTGTTGGGCCCACTGAAATAATCAGAAAATATTTTCACTGACTTTACTGGGTGTTAGAATAGGCCCCCCAAATCCTCATTGTCTCCTGCATTGTGGAAAGCTTTTGGCTGTGTGTGTTTCTGGCACAGAAAGGAGATTCTTTCTCCAGGTTGTTTCCTTTAACCTCTAAAAGCTTCCAGCCATCCTCAGAGAAAGCTGCAGGCAACACTCTGCTGTGCTGGCATCCTCAGCCTCAAGCTCTGGAGGAGCAACTCAAGAAATGAGGACAGATCTTGTTTCTGCTCTGGCCACACAGGGGTGAGGGAGGTGTCTGCTGATAGTGTGGAGGTGGCTGTGCAAGGAGCAGAGGTACCTGGTGAACGTGGTGGGGTGATACAGGTCCCCCTCCTTCGGGCTGGGGACTTTATGCTCTTTGCTTCATCTCTGGTTTGCTTCAGATCTTTCTGGGTCCTCACAGCCCCCAGTCTGGGGAGGCATTTTCTAGGCACAAAGCCCAGCTGTGCTGGATTGAGCTGTGTGTTTGGAAGCTGGACTGGTGTCCCAGCTGTAAAGCACCTCTGTGTGACTCTGGCCAGGGAATGGCCTTGCCCCAGAGGTGGTCTATGAGGATTGTCCAAGGAGCACAGCTGGAGCTCTGGAAAAATGTTATAAGCAATTGCAAGGGAGCTTGTACAAGAACCTGACTGAGGATTAAACTCTGCAACTCCCTTTCAGACTTGATTTTACCCCATTTCTGGCCTTTCATCCTTCCTTTTTTACACATTTCTATGAGTGAATAGTTAGTTGCCTCCTATTAATGTATTAATATTGATATATTAATCTCCTATTATATCTCCTATTGATATATTAATATCTCAAGATGTTCATGCAGTGTCTGAGCAGCAGAGCTGGCTCCTGCTGAGTATCTGACCATGATCCAGGAGGTTGCTTTGATCCTGGTGGTGGGGAGCAGGGAGACAGAGGGCTATTTTCTTCCCCTAGCTGCAAGAAAACCATGGTGCTGTTCACATCACCTCGCCCCCCAAGCTGGAAATTCCTGGAGCAGCTCACACATTTGTCTACCTGTTAAGCCCTTTAGAAGGAAGTGAATTAACTCCCTGCAAAGATGCCAGGGACAGCTCAGAGCTGCATGAGATCTCACCAGGATTCCCCTACACACAAATGTCAGGGATCAGACCCTGGGGAAGGCAGGGATCACTGAAATGGCTGGGCTGGCTTTCTGCCAGCCATTAAGGCAGCCCTCAGTGCCATGTTGGGAAGAGATGAGATGTCTCCTCTCCTCTTCTTACTAGAGTGGTACTTCTGGCTATATTTGCTGCTTCTTGAAAGTTTGGGTTTGGTCAGTGCCTCATAAGCATTTTTGCTTTGGCAGTGACAGAGCAGCTGCTTCCAGGAGCTTGCAGCAAATCTTGAACTTGAAAGCTTCTATTATTTACATATATATGTAATTATTATTAGATTTATATATATTACCTGCTTATTTAATGCACATATTATTAAAGGGGCTCTGACTGTATCAGCAATTGCTTCTTAGCAGATCGTGTTATGCTTCACGTGTCACCACAGAGGATGTAGATAATCTGAAAAGTGCCTTGCTTGCACACCAGAGCTTTAATAGCTATAACAAGACAATTAGTACATCGTTCCACTTGAACTTTAATGTAATAATTGGCAGTAAGTAATTCCCCTCTGATGTGATACACAGCCCGTGTTGTGAACAAATATCAGAGCAGCCCTGAGTAGGAAAGGGAAAATAAAAGTCACAGCTGCTGATTATGACCAAGGGGGTGGATTTGGGGATGGTGTTCCAGAATGATGGATGTGATGTGGATGTTGGACATGGCCCAGGAGCGCTGTGAGGATTTCCACTGGATGTGACATCCTGATCTGCTGTGTCTCTGCATCTCTGGATGAGTGGGATGTATTGCACAGTGCCTCAGGGGAGGGGACACATTCATCCCCAGGTGTGGTACCGAGAGCTGCAGAGGAGGCTCTTCTTTCACTCTCCCTGCCCACAGAGAGAGTGACCTTGAAAAAGGGGACATTTGGATGGCAGAGATATTTTTTGATAGTCAGTGAATCAGAGCCCAGCACAGAGG